ATGGACAAAAATCTCTCAAATTTGAGTAAAGAAATGGACATACAATTTTAAGAAACTCAACACATTTAACAAAAATCAATCCAGAGACACCCACAGCAAACACTTGAAAAACTGAAGGGCAAAATGGACAGCTCTACAATAATAAGATTCTTCAGTACCTCACTCTCAGTAAGCTATAGAGCAACCAGGTAGAAGATCAGTAGGGAAAGCGAGAACTTGAACAACACTCCAGACCACTGGGACCTAAACATCCCTGCCAACAGCAGAATAGACGTTTTCCTCAGGTGCACAGAGAACATTCTCCGTAATAGACCACATTCTGTAAAGCCATGAATCAAGTCTCAAAAAATTTAAAAAGAGTGAAAGCATACAAAATATTTGCTCTTCCCACAATGGAATGAAGCTAGAAATCAGTAAAAGAAGGGAGAACTCATAAATATGTGGAAGTTAAGCAATATATCACAAGGGAAATTAGAACCTTTCTTGAGAAAAATGACCATGAAAACAGGGCATGTTGAAACTGAAAAAGCAGTGCTGAGAAGGAAACTCAGTGCTATAGAAGCTTACGTTAAAAAAGAAGAAAGGTCTGAAACCAAAAACCTACTTTATACCTTAAGGAACTAGGAAAAGAAGAAAAAACTAAGCTGAAAGCTAGCTTAGGAAGGAAACAATATTACAGCAGAGAGAAATAGAGAACCCAAAACAACAGAGAAAGCCAATGAAGTCAAGAGTTGGTTCTTCCAAAAAAAAAAAAAAATTCAACATAATGGCAAACCTTTAGCTGAATGCCTGTGGCGGGGAAGGAGGCCAAGGACTCAACCACACACGACAGGCACCTTACTGCAAATATACAAAAATAAGGAGGATTATGAGAGTTCTATGAATGATTGTATGCCAACAAAATGGATAACCTAGATGAAACGGACAAATTTCTAGAAACACACAACCTACCAAGACTGAATCACGAGGAAACAAAGTCTGGATGGACCTATAACTACTAAGGAGATTGAATCAGTAATCAAATTCCTCCCAACAAAGAAAAGCCCAGGACCCAATGGCTTCGTCAGTGAATTCTACCAAACATTTAAAGAATTAGCATCAATCCTCCTCAGACTCTTCCAGAAGAAAGAAGAGGGAATGTTTCCTAACTCATTCTCGGGCCAGCACCACCCTGATACCAAAGCCAGACAAAGACACTACAAGAAAACTGTCAGTCAGTATCCCTCAGGAATACTGACGCAAAAACCTCCAAAAAACGTTAGCAAATTGAACCCAACACCACAGTAAGAAAAAGGATTATACACATCACAACAAAGTTGGATTCCCGAAATGCAAGGATCACTCAGTACATAAAAATCAGTCGATGTAATACGCCATATTAACAGAATGAAAGGGAAAATAAATGACTATCTCAATTGACAAAATTATTTTGACAAAATGCAATACCTTTTCATGATAAAAACACTCAACAAACCAGCAATAGTAGGAAGATAGCTCAACACAGTGCAAGGCACACATGAAATATCCCACAACTAACATCATACTCAAAGGCGAAAGACTGACATGACAGTCTGTCCTCTAAGATCAGGAACAAGACCGCATGTCTACCGTCACTACGTATACTGAACAAAGTACTGCAAGTCGTAGCCGGAGCAATTATACAAGAAAAAGAAAGAAAAAGCATCCAAATTAGGAAGGAAAAAAGAAGAGCTTCAAAACTTTCTCAGTCCCACAAGTTTTTGCCTGATACAGAGCACTTTCAACTGCCATGTTTTTATTGGTCCCTTCTACGATTCCAAAGTTTGTCCTTTCTCCTTAGAAGGCCCTTGCCAGTATTTCAAACCATTGCTTTTCTTTTTTTGTGGGATTAAAAAAAAAAAAATCGCATTTCCACACCAAAAAAATGTAAAGTCGTGAGTTTATTGCATATGTAACAAAATGAACCTGACCTCCCGGGTCCAGCCTGCTGTACAATCACTGTTTGTTGTGTGTTTCCAGCTGGTTCCATAACCACATTAAATAGAACTAGTATTTCTTTAAATACTTTTGATTTTGACATAAAACAGAACATTAGTGTACAATTTTCACAAAATAAATCAGGAATAAAAACAGTGGGAAGAATAACAAGGATAGCAGCAATACTTAAAAACAAGACATTACAAAATAAATTAAAAAATACATTATAAAGTGGTTGAGAAACAAAAATAAACAAATTTTAAAAATTCATACTATGTTTCGGGAAGGCTGCGGTGCGGCCCACACCTGGCCGCACACGGGGCTGGGGGGCGGGGTGTTTTCTCTGCGGGAGGCCATTCCTGGCAGCTCAGGTTTGAGGGCCACCTCACCTGAATGGGGACCACGCGGCCGAGCAAGCTTAGGGAACACAATCCGCCTGGGGGCAGACTCCCCTCAGAAGGGAGCTGTCCGTCCTGTCCCCCCGAGCAGCCCCTTTGTTTTTCCTACCTACAGCATTGGCAGAGTGGTGGTTTGCTACATCCCTGAGGGTCGGCTGATGACCGCTGGTGAGGGCAAGCCTGGAAGTTGGGCCCCTGAAGCTTCTGGGCAAAGAGGTGAGGGGAGGGGGGCAGGTGGGCGGTCGGGGACTACCGCGGAGGGCGACGAACGAGAGCTCGTGGGAAACGGGGTCCACACGGACCCAAAGTGGCGCGATCGGGAGCTTTTACCAACCGTCTGCCACGCTCCTCTTTGGGTGGCCCCATCCACTGTTATTAGTGAAGGTTCTAGAAGTGCAGTGCCACTGACAGGCCCATTTGGTGAGAGCCAGCCAGGGCTCTGGAACGTTCTGCTCTTTCAGGCTCCGCTGTGACACGCAGTTGCTGAGGGGGCCCCCGCGCACGTGAGAGGAGAAAAGCAGGGACCGCGGCCTTACCAGACAGGAAACCCTTGCGGAGCTGACTCCGGACACACGCGAGCAGCCTGGGGCCGGCAGGTACGCTTTCTCGGGCCTGGTCCCCCGTTTCTCCCAACAGCAGGAAGATCGTCTCAACGGAGCCAAACTCAACATTCCCGCTAGACCCTCATCTCCTCACTAACTCCTGCAGATTTTGGCCGACCCCACAGAAGAATAAGTGCTCCTTCCCACCTCAGCCTGGAGGTGTTTTCAGCTCTCCCGTGGAGGTCTCCTCCTCACACTGTTGAGGTTCACCTCCGAGAGGAGGCCGATCTGGGGGCAGGTCTGTAGCTGACATTTCCTCACTCTGCCAGAGGAAGATTACGAGGGAGGACTAGAGAGTCAGGGGGAGCCAGCTTCTAGAACGCCCTCACAAGGATCACGGTAAACGAGAAACAAGGTAAGCCCAACTGGGGCAAGGCAGAACTTCTGAAAGACCAAGCCCACAATCTGGCCTGGACTTCCTGAATGGATTTAATTTTCCTTCTGCAACAAGTCACACCGGACATCCTCTCTACCCTGGAACCTCCGTACGTAGCCCAGAAGTGCGCGCTCTCGCAACTCTTGGCACCCCCAGCCAGCAACCCATGGCCCACCAAACCAGGCAGACCTCTTGTTCCAAAGCGGGGGGGGGGGGGGGGTCTGTCTCCCAAGACGTCCCGGAGCTGCTCACGTAAGCCACAGACTGCTTCGGGGCCGACCGAAGAACCACAGCAAGATGAGAAGGGTAAGCAGGCCTCCAAACCCACCACAGTCCAAAGGTGTTAGTAGCAAAAAGAGAGTCGTCCAAAAAGCTCCTTCCAAACCCCTCTCAGACCCACAGCTGGATGCCAACGCCTAACTCCAAAACCAACAGCAAAGTTTCAACAGTGAAGTGTCTTGCTAAGGAATTACCCCACACTTGCCCCCCAAAATAAAAACAACAAAAACCAAACAGGACAATTTGCCGCTGCCGCCCTTCACAGAAGTTGATCTCCACTCAAACCACCTTGTTAAAATACTGCTTGAATGTCGTGTGCAAATTGGAAAGTGGTGTTAGAAACTGGGGGTCCAGGCTGGCTTTGGCCTTGCTCAGCATGTGAAGACGTTTGGGCAAGTGAATCGAGCGGTGACTGTTAGTGTCGCCCTCTGACACTCGGAAGATGACCAGTATGAGCCAGAGTGGAACTGTGTCCCCGCCCCTCCCCCCCCCACACACACACTGTCAGGTTTGCATTTAACAGTAACGGGGGTGGGGGGCGGTTAAGTCAATGAGGTTATCCGCTCCCCCTCTCCCTTTGAGGCGAGTCTGCACCAGGCCAGCAGCTAGAACAGGCGTTTCTTTTGTTAGTTCAGCTCTCAGCAAGTTCCGCACGACACTTTGTTAGTATTCAGTGACCCAGCCGACACACAGGTGGTGCGGGAGCCCCAGCCCAGGACTGGCTGCGTGGATCTGAGGCTGGTTTGGTCTGTTCTTTTATAAGCTCTGTTATGTGGTATTTTCACTGGAAAAAATATCTTGAATTAGACAGATAATGTGGCAAAAGGGACTCTTAAAAGGAAAGATCAGTTTTCTCTATGCAGAACAAATTTTTCAGCCAGGATACCCTGAAACATACCCTGGGCCCCAGCTGCTTTACCTTTCCAAAAGGGAAGCATGCTTTTGATGCAGGCTTCCCGCTGCGGCAGACTTCCCCTAGACAATATGGTTATTTTTCAGGTAGAAATTCATCTGCTACCTGGAGCAGGCTGCTAGGACGCGATTGGAATTTGAGCTGCTGAACTTGAAAACGGGCCTTGGGACCGTTTTGACACATAGCTAGTAGAGCTACCAGTTACGGACCCTCAGTAAGCCAAGCTCAGTTCCAGAACTTTTGGGCTGATCCTCCTATAAAGACCACAGGGCAGTGAGCCGATCACCATATGGGTTCCAGTCATAGCGGAATATCCTGTGTGACCGAAGCCAAATGCTAAACCTGGCTGCATTTTATTGGATGGGTGATGGAAGGGGGTGGGAGTACTGTCATAAAGGAGGAAAGTATGGGTGGGAGCCACCAACCAAAGTCCCCCCACCCCCCTCGCTCCCCCAACGAAAAGGAGGGGAGACAACTCTTTCCCTCCGGTGATCTGGGGTTCCCAGGCCTCAGCCAGCTGCGTAGGAGGCACACAGAAAGCTTGCTTTTGGTCTGGTGGTCATGAGCTAGAATCTGTTGCCTTTGGTTGCTCTTCACTCCACAGCAAAGCCACAAGTCTCCTCCACGGCCGTCAGCAGCTTCTCATAGAGCTTCTCATACGATTCATAAGGTGGAATGTCAATCCGATTAAAGCTGGAACAGGACAAAAGAGCAAGAGAGTCACTGCTGGGGGCAATCCGGACGCAGGACCTGCTTCAAGGACAAGGACAGGCGGGAGCAGGGCATCTGTGGCCCCGAGCCAGCAGAGGGCGAGCGCGTGAGAGAGCGCGCGCGAGCGAGAGCAAGAGCGCGCACGCGTGCGCGCGCGCGGGCAGGACGGAGCCAAGACGGGGAGCATCTCGTCGCCCCGTTGGGATAAAGAGGTGGAGGCAAGATTTCTACTCCCCCCGCCCCAGTCCTTTTCTGCTTTGAAAGCAGAGATTTTTTTCATCGAACACACAGCAACATAGACCCTAAGATCTTGAAAACCAAAATTAAACTAATTACTATTTCCTGGTTATATGAGGACAAAGCTCTCAGCCGCTTTTGTCTGTTGTCTTTGGAAGACATTATTTCTCGGTACGAGGAATACCACCTTTGCAGAGAGCTCTGTAATCCAGACCGGCAGCAGTCAGATCACCAACAATTTACGGCATGTCTAGCGGACCCTCGCGACTTGATCTGAGACCAGATGGGGCAGTCTGGACTATTTCTTGCAAAAACAAGCTGTATCTCAAAACTTAATAAAATGTCAAATCCCTGACACTGAGATGAAATGAGTGATGAAATGAATCAACATTTCCCTGGGGAAATTCATTTCTACTGCTGTATGAAAACAAAAATACCCTTTAAGGAGGATATTCTCTACTAACAAAAAAATACAGAATTCTGACAGAGAGGCCATAGAGTGACTTACTAAATTAACAAGGGCTTAAGCAATTAAGGATGGTTTTTCTCAAGAAAGAACTGGGCTGAATGGTGTGATAGTCTTGGGGGGGGGCAGGCTTTAGCATCAGAGGACACCTCTCACATCTGTTTTACTCTAGACACTGAACTATGAAAGGACAGAGTCTTACGGGGAGGAAAGCAGCTGCCAAGCATCAACACGGCGTGGTTTCTGTGACGGCCATGCTGGGCGAGGCGCTGCAGCCTCCCCATGGCCTGGGGACCGTGCTAACATTTGAAGCCACACCCCCGGGCTCCCAATCAGGAACCTTCTGTTACACCCCGATGCATCTGGATGACCAGGACCAGGCTCTCCTGAACTAGACATGCTGGTCTTTTCGATACATGGTTTCTGAGACAAAGTGTATGCAAGTAACTTGATTTTTAAACCACAAATAATCTGCTACGGTTATTATTTAAGTTAAAATTGGGGGAAGAAATATTTTTCAGTACACAGGATGCATCATCATAGACTAAGTTCCAAGAAGGAAAATGGGGTCTTAGGAAGTGAACTAGTAACTCCAGATTAAAACCTACAGTGTTGGGGCACCTGGGGTGGCTCAGTTGGTTAAGCGTCTGACTCTTGGTTTTGGCTCAGGTCATGATCCTCAGGGTCATGGGATCAAGCCCCGTGTCTGCCTCTGAGCTCACTGCAGAGTCGGCTTGGGTTTCTCTCTCCCTCTTTCTCTGTCCCTCCCCCTGCTCTCACGCATGCTCTCAGTAAGTCTTTAAAATAAAATAAATAAATAAAAACTATAGTTTTCGGGGTGCCTGGGTGGCTTGGTTGGTTGAGCATCCAACTCTTGATTTCAGCTCAGGCCACGATCTCAGGGTCAGGAGACTGAGCCCCATGTCACACTGAGCATGGAGCCTGCTTAAGATTCTCCCTCTCCCTCTGCCCCTCCCCACCATTTGTGCGTACACACACATGCGCTAAAAAATAAAATAAAATAATTAAAAAACTAGTTTTCCCGAGAGGGACGTGTGCTCATGCACGCACAGGCAAGACCCAGTGAAGATAAGACTGGAGTTGCTGGAGCGCCAGCCAACATGCATCCCATGTCACAACACAAGTGGTTTCACAACAGAGACGTCTGATAACCCTCCTGTGACCCACAGCCGAGTGCTCGTTCCATCTGACACCGGGGCCATCGCCAGTGGTCCTGGGATGCTGGTAAGGGGAGCAGAGTGCTCCACAGAAGAAAAGAGCTTAGACAAGTCACGCGTAGGGTGGCACACCGTGGAGACGGGCTCCCAGGGGACGGGCCTTACCAGGTGTGGGCCTTCGGAAGGTTGTCTGTGTTGGCGTCGATCAGGTGGATGGTGAAGAGCCGGGGCCCTGCCGCGCCTGTAGAGCCTTACGAGAAAACATTCTAGTTAATGCACGTCAGAGGCAGGGCCCGGGCCCCACTGCCAAGCACACCTTCGGCCCCGTGCCCAGGCGGGCCATCCTGCCGGAGGGTCACACACACACTTCACGAGGTAGCATGAGCCTCCACCTGGCTTAGCATATGCTGACAGTGGCCATCCAGGGACCTATACCAGACGTTCTAGAAAACCACAGGGGCAGAGCGAAGACTGGTGAGAACGCTCCTCCTGTCTCCTCCCCGCTCAAGTGGGGGTATCTGAAGGGTAAAAATCCTTAGACTACCAGTGATGTGTTCTTTGTTGTTGTGTTTTTAACAAATTTTCAGCAAGCAGGCCCACTCCTGGCAGAGGCAGCAGAGTTATAACAAAAGCAAGATACAGGGTCACGAAATCTCCCCAGGCAGAAGTATGACGGGAAGAGAAAAGACACAGACATCTGGGACAAGAGCCCAAGGGGATGGAAGGAACTTCTGTCACCCTGAGAAGTCCTCGAAATATGGAAAAGTCTACTGGAAACATTCTCCATGTGAAATATATCTGCTATCACTATTAATATGCAAAATTCCATTTACTAGGTCTTAATATACTATTATTATTCAACTTTTTCCTTCTGGCTCTCAGGGTTATCAAAAATCTGGATATCAGATTTTTTTTTTTTTTATCACAGTCAGAAGGGACGAGAGACAGGATGCATACCCATCGGTGGAGCCCATCAGGCAGTGCATTTGCACAGAGGACGAAAGTGAGGCCCAGGGAGGACCCCTGGCACTAATGACCAACACGGTAGCCAGAGACTCCATCTCCTGATGCCCAGGCCAGGCCTCTCTCCCTCACACTCGGGACTGCAGTGAGAGAGCTGCTATCAGAAGACTCAGAAACGAATCCATGGTGCATTTAAAAACTCTGCTTTCTTTCCCCAAAGCCTTGCCGGAGGGACGTGCCTAGGGGAGATGCGTGGGGCCAGGAGCCCCACCTCCAGGTCAGTCACCTTGCAAAGCCTTGAAGCCTTGGAGAGGGACCCGAGTGGACCCGGTCACGAACTGCAGGAGCCTGGCCCTCCTCTCCTCGTCGAAGGTCTCCACAGCCTGCCAGAACCACCGGACGATGTTGCTGTCGGCCACGCAGTGCTTCAGCCGAGTGTTGGACTTCCAGTCGCTCACGTCGATTTTATCCAGGCCACCGATGATCAGCTGGGAAGGCGTTCAGCGGCAAGTTAGTCCTCAAACGTATGAACCAGGGTCATGACACACACACACACACCAGTTCACACACACACACACACACACACACAACCAGTTCACACACACAGACACACACACACACACACCCCAGTTCCCGGAACATCTCATGAGGAGGGAATTTATTGTGTCTGAATAAACAAGCCCCAGACTTGGATAAGCAGGGAGATCAGCAGTGTGCCCGATGCTGCCACCCCAGGCTGCCTTCCGACCCCCAGCCTGGGGGTTTTCTTACAACCATGTCTGCGTTCGCGGTGTTGCACCGCATCGGCGAGGAGTCGGTACGGAAGAGCCAACTGGCAAGACCGAAGGGGCAGACTGTAAGATGGGGTCACACCCCAGGGACTTCGGGGACTGGGACAGGCAGAGCTCGAAGGCTGAGCGGCGGGGCCGTGGCTGGAGTCGTGTGCACGGGTCTGCCCGGGGTGGGGGGTGCCTCGCCGGGGACAGAAAGACAGAAGGATTTCACAGCCCTGAGCCATTTGGCATCGGAGGTGGGTAAGAGATGAAGGAACCGCTATGTTCAAGCACATGAAGTGTGATTAGAGGAGACAATAATACTTTGTTCCGAGGCTAATAATAGCCAGAACAAAAACAGAAAGCTGACGTGCTGGGAGAACCTGGTTATACGCGAGATAATTTCCTCGATCCAAGGTGACTACACGGGAGGGGGTTAGGAACCTCCACTGCTAGAGATTCTGAAAAATAGGATAAGCCACAGAACACCCTGCACAACGTCCAGAGAAGGATCTGGGCTGGCTGCCGCCAAGCAGAGAAACACCTGGCCTGATCCTAAACAGGCTCAGATGCCCTCGACGCCCCGCTCACTCTAGCCCTGGTATCCTGGAGCCCCAAAAACCCCTGGCCTTGCTGGGGAACAGGTGAGCCTCACTCTGCTGCCATGTGTAAAACAAGAAAACACCGATCACTTTCACAACCTTGAATGCGGACTTGGCTTGGCCCAGTGAGCACATACCTCTAGTTCCTTCTGGTCAAAAGGCTTCAGCAAGTGTTGAGGAATGAGTTCATTAAACCCTTTCTGAAGAGCTAAGAACTGGGCTTCAATCCCTCTCATGAACCTCCAGTTTACATACAACCTGAAAGACAAATTCATAAGTTGGAGGCAATACAAACGGTTCACGAGAAAAACTTTTCCTCCGTGGTGGGTTCTGCCATCATCTGCTGAACCTAACGCCCTGCTGCCAGGCCTCCCTGGAGGGGGGGGGGGGGGAGTGGGGGGGAACGAAAACCCCAGCAGCTGTTAAGATCGGGTTAAAAATAAGTCAGCACAGGCCTTGACACATTCTGATGCTTTACTAAAAATAGGACTAAGAATTAACCTGACCTGTACAGCAAGTGCCATCATTTAAAAAAGTAGATTTAGGGGCGCCTGGGTGGCTCAGTCGTTAAGCGTCTGCCTTTGGCTCAGGTCATGGTCCCAGAGTCCTGGGATCGAGCCCCGCATCAGGTTCCTGCTCGGCGGGAAGTCTGCCTCTCCCTCTCCCACTCCCCCTGCTTGTGTTCCCTCTCTCGCTGTGTCTCTGTCAAATAAATAAGTAAAATTCTTTAAAAAAAAGTAGATTTAAAAATAAGATGTGGGGATGCCGTGAGAGCCACACACCAGTCTGGCCGCCCAAGCACTCCAACGCGCCCATATGCTTCCAGATTTCCAATGTTAAGTGACATGTCATTTCTTTGCCGTCAGAGGTGGGACCACAATGGAGGAGACTTCCTTGAGACTGAGCTCAAGGAAACTTCTAGGCTCCACGTCTCTCCTGCGCTCACCACCTTCACACCCAGAATCAGGAGGCCACTTGGCAATCCATTCCGCCACTTGGCAATCCATTCCGCCACTTGGGTTCGGGGGTCATTATTGTCCCTTCAACAGGTCAGGCCTGGTGGCATCGGGCCTCCTCCATGCAGGGCTCCCACTGCTGAACCCGACAGTTCAGTTATGTGATTCTGGCCACACATGCTGGCGGGGACAGGGAAGCCTCTCACAGTGAAGGAGCCTTGACCATCTAAATGTGGACCCAGCCAGGCCCAGCACGGTCCCGGGCACCCGGAGGCCCCACCAGCGGCCACCAAGTTTCCCTGGAACATTACCGGACATATTCTTTCTTGTTCTCCTCTGTGACAGGAACGTTGCGGCCATTGGGTTTCAGTTCGTGCTGAAGAATCCTCCCGAAAGCATTGTGTTCCACACAGAAAGTGTGGTCCAGCACAGGGGTGATATCGTTCTCTCTGTCAAAGTTAGGACAGAAGACGGATGTCAGATCTTTGCCGCAAGACAGCAGCGAAGAGAACAGGAGCGGGAACAATCCGGGGCACAGACAGATGGCATTTACTGACTGACACCCCGGAGCCGCAGGAGGGAGGAGAGAGGAGCCTCGGGCAGACACAGAGCCTGCGCCCGGGCAGGGGGGCAGGCCCTGGGAGGAGCCGGGGGACCCCAGCTCCACATCCAGACGTGCCCTTGACTCTCGGCTTCCCCCTTCGCAGGATGGTGATGGTAGCTCTATCGTTCTGTGATCTTACAAGACACAGTGACCTGATTGCTTTGTCAACTGAGTCTCTGAACAGAAGGGAGGGATTCATGAAGAGTCAACTGAGTCAAAGGAAAAGCAACCTGCAGGGAGACACACCTAGACGATACGGTCCCCCCTTGCAAGGCAGCCATTCACACAGAGTAGCACCTGAGAGTTCAAACAGACTCCTCCGCCTGCCGCACTTCTTGAAACACAGAGTGAAAGATCCCCTACGTACAGGCTGGAGGCCCTACCCCCCGCAGACTGCCCGTTCCCAGCAGGGACCACGGGCCAGCAGAGCGCAGGACGCAACTGAGTTCAGGTCCTCGGCACGTCCTCCCTCTGCCAGAGCCTGGGTCTCTCGCTCCCGTGGAATCAGCTCACTGACAAGGGCCTGCGGCACCCACGGTCACCGTGGAATGGGGCCAGCTGCATTCAAGAGCGTTTTAGGAGAATTCTAAAACAAAGGTGACTAGAATTTTTCCTGATCCTTTTCTTGTATCAAATGTTTTGACCTAAATACTAACTTTGTTTTTGATACTTTCCCTCCAGAGATTAGCTGGAGACCCCCTAGAGAGTCAAAAGCAAACCACCCACCCACCTATGAGGCTCGGGGGACTGACACTTGTGATCCTTCCGTAATAATTTGAGGGGACAACAAAAGAAATCAGTCTATGAAGTGAAACTGGCCAAACATCATGAAGAACATTAAGTCAACTGAGTATTTCTTACTCAATCTACTTTTACGTTTCTGGTTGTAAAACAGCATTTTCTTTATTTCTCTTCTCCAACTTCACACCCACCCCTCAAAAACATTCACATGCACACACACACGCACACAGAACAATTCTGTCCGGTGTACGAGACAGTGGCTATGCATTCACTGAACAGTGAGGCTCTACTTACAGAATCCATACTAAGCTCTTATGTAACTCTGGGTCCACCGACTCCAAATCCGAGAGCTGGATGGGTTTTCCCAGTAGCTGCTTATAGAAGGGAACCGTGAAGCCCCCATTTATGTAGTGGCCGTGGAACACGGCGAGACCCATGATCCGGCCCACAAAATGGAAATAAGACAGATGGTCCTGTAGGGGGCACCAGAGAACACGAATTCAGTAGGAAAAGGCCCAGCCGAAGTAGATACCTTTGTGCTTTCTCCAAGCTTCTTGGGAGAACGAACTGTCCCATCTGACTCGGTTGGTTACTCACAGGTTGTGCTCACGGATGGAGGAAAGAAGGCTGGTCAGGTAGTCAAAACCCAGAGCACGTCTCTATAGATCATCTGAGTACTTGATAGGCCCCGAGTGCAAACACCTCCTCGGGATTGCTACATCATTTGTGGCACTCAGTGTAAAAGGAAAATGCAGAACACCCCTTACTCAAAAATTACGAATTCAAGGGGCAGCCGCAGACTCAAACCAAGCACAGGCCCTTCTAAGTGCAGGGCGCCCGAGTGCACTGCGTTACCGAGAAGGAGAGCAGAGGGCAATTCCCCTCCTTCTACCATCCCTCCCGAGTCCCTGGGGAAAGCGGAAGAGAAAAAACCCAAAGGAGGAAGAAAAAACAAAAAAGGAACATAAAGGAAAAGTCTCTGCACATGAAGCAGAAAAACCAGAGCTGTTCTGGTTTTTAACGGGGAAACACACATCTCTGCTTTCAGTCGGAATTAGAATCAGAATTCATCAAAGCCTCACTGCCATCTTGGTAAAAGACTCTGCTCTGGCACATCTGAATGCTTGTAGAGAGGAGAGCTGGTCCCACACTTTGCCTCAGGGGCCGTGGGCCCAGCAGCGGTGACCACGGGACACAACCCCACGGGGACAGTCCTCCGTGGGCACTCGTGGCCAAAAAGGCCGATCATGGAAAATTCCAGTTCTGACTGGGAGGAGGAGGGACCTCATAGCCCACGTCTCAGAATGACACGGTCCACAAAAAACAGTCCCCATACCTCAGTTCCCCCAAATGGCAACAAAGGGCTTGTGAGTATTCGAAGCAGCTGGGTTTCACTCTTGTTGTCTTTGAAAATAACATACCCAGCAATCCGAAGCACAAAACACACAGGAGAGAAATCATCCACATTAGTCCAGTTCCCGCTCTCCTTCTCAGTGTCTATTTACCAGAGACTCTAAGTCTACAACGAGTAAACCAAGGATAGAGACCAAACCTAAAAATCCATTTAAAAAAAATGTTCCTGGGCGCCTGGGTGGCTCAGTTGGTTAAGCGACTGCCTTCGGCTCAGGTCATGATCCTGGAGTCCCGGGATCGAGTCCCACATCGGGCTCCCTGCTCGGCGGGGAGTCTGCTTCTCCCTCTGACCCTCTTCCCTCTCGTGCTATCTCTCATTCTCTCTCTCTCAAATAAATAAATAAAATCTTTTAAAAAAATAAAAAATAAAATAAAATAAAAAAATGTTCCTATTTGCTCCCTCTTTATTCGTGAATACTTACGGGGTTGATTGAAGAGTCTGGGTTGATCTGCAACATGTAAATGTTGTCCGTAGAATACTGGAAGAGTCCATAGTACGGATTCAACATTTCGTGGCACAGTAAATAAAGCCACTCCCTAGGAAAAAAAACAATGAAAGTCATTTTATACGTGCGGAAGTGTCCGGTCTTCTGTCTTACCAAAAGGACTGATTCCCTGAGCCCTGGAAGGCCCCACCGGCAAGATACCCTGCTCTGAGAGAAGGTGACTTGCACAGACTGGGAAGTAACAACTTGCTTCTGGTCGAATGAGAGATGGCTTCTCTGGCCCAGATCCCCCACAGCTCTGAAGCTGAGGAAGACCCACAGTGGCCTAGAGTCAGGACCGCCTCCCAAGGGCAGTGTTCTCGACAGTTACCTTGTCACCTCAGCTAAGATGTTCTCTGCTACTGTGCAAAGGTCCACATCTCAGGCGATGATGTTCGTGATGCGGTGGTAATAATGGACAAAAGTACAAGAGATCCTACTTTTATTTTAGAAAGAGTGTGCGTGCGCGCACATATACACAAAACAGGAAGGATATCAACGCAAGAAAGTGGAGGAGGATTTACAGGACACACTGACGGTAATTAACGATACGTAGCATTCCGGGGGCATTTGCAGTTTTCTTTTGCTTCTTTCTAGAAAGTTTTTAAATTTCCAATTGCAACATGTTATCAACACTTAAGTGAGGAGAAGGTATTTGTGGGAAGGTGGATTAAGAACGACTTTTGCCCTTCATAATCTTCTACCTTGTCGCATTCTTATCTTTTGCCATAAACATTTACTGCTTTTTTTTTCTTTTGAGAGAGAGAGCACAGAAGCATGGAAGGGGCAGAGGGAGAGGGAGAGAGAGAGTCCTAAGCAGGCTCCACGCCCAGCAGACAGCCCAACGTGGGACTCGATCTCACCACCCTGAGACTGTGACCTGGGCCCAAATCAAGAGTCGGACGCTCAACCGACTGAGCCCCCCAGGCACCCCAACATTTATTGCTTTTATAATTTAAAAAACAAGCTTAATACTTTAATTCTAATGGTTCTAAAATCTGGATGGGAGATCTAAGAATAAATTATTTTCAGAATTCCTGTATATTCCAATCATTATAAAAAAAAGCCCCAAATCAGAAACCATCAAACAAGACAAGCATTCTCAATAGAATCTGTAGGAATCTGGGGAAAATATGGGGAAAACCACACAGAAGCACCTGTGGCACTTCTTACAAAGACTCTTTTCTTCTTTCTATTCAAAATTCCTTTCAAATGGATAAATTTCATTAAGATAAACAGCCCCAAGTTCTATTCTGGAATTTCTTACTCTGTCAAACAGAAAAGGCGGAGAATTGAGAGACATTATGAAAGGATAAGCACACGTGCAAACAATCCAAGAACACTGTGAGAAACACAAAAAAAGATCAGACCACAACAAAATTACGTATCAAACTCAAAACAGAAAGGAAGTGCTGGAAGCAATGAGACTCCAAATGTTACAAAATTCTTTACTAAAAAGGCAGAATTCCCCAACTGTAAGACCTGGATTCATCCCCAAGTTTTAGAGTTTGCGTTTGAGAAGAGTCATTTTCAAAAGCCAAGGACCTGCAACTGTCTAGACAGGAAATGATTAAAACACAAGCAAACATTCTGAGCGCGTCACGCACGAGGTAGGGAGGCATATTGGGTATGTTAAGGAAGTGGTAAGGGGAGAGCTAACTATACAGGCAAAATGGTTTTTTAACAATACAGGAAATGGTTCAGAACCAAACACTGGGGAAGTGAGTGTGGACTGATTCTCATCGACCAGATAATGAATGCAGGCACACACACATGGGATTTCAATTTCTCCATAGCTCTCCGAGATAGGTCTGATCCCCTGTAGACGCGAGGAAGGATCTGAGGGGTGAAACAATGCAAGACCCAGCTGGAGGCAGGAAAGCCAGGACTCACAGCTCTTTCCACTAGAGCACCACGTCAACCAAGGGAGCTCCCCAAAGACCTCTCCGCGTGGAAGACTTGATAAAAAACGGGTTATGCAGAAGGAACAGAACTCCTACCACACGAAACCAAGCTATTCACATGCATGCCGGAAGACGTAACACCAGCCATGCAAAGGAACGACAGTAGGTTGGAACAGTTCAGGATACTGAATTTCTCAGACTATAAAGGAAATAGCATAGAAGAGAAAACGCAAGTGGTCTGATTTGAACTGTTGAGGCAAATATGAATATATAACTAGGAAGATTCTCAGCTACAAAGGGGGACAGAAAACCTAATCCTCTTGCCCAGAGACAGAATTTGTGTTATCAAGGGCAAACAGACGTTACGTTTGCCAAAAGAAAGATGGTTTCTAGCATCAAGATTGAGAATTTCAAGGAAGAACCTTGGGGTAGTCTTGAAAGGAAAAATGTTTCCCACGGAGAGCCGGTGCTGATGTGAGCTCACTGCCAGGCAAACGCATGCCTTTCTGCACCCTTCATCCCCGATGGACTTGGCGGGAGGGCAGAGACAGGCAGTGGGGAAAAGGCGGAAGAATGATTCTATCCAGGGCCAAAGGGCAGATCGTGACTTCTTGCTTTTTAATTCTGTTCTTTTGGCTGCTGAAAAAAAAATCCCAGCTCTACCCAGAAACCAATTATAATTGGTCACTTTTCTTTTGGCTGCTGAGAAACAATCCCAGCTCTACGCAGAAGCCAATTATAATTGGGCCACTTACAATGCTTGTCAGAACATAATTTTTCTTGGGGTAGCTGCTGTAGGGCTGAGAATTTGCCCTAAATGGAGAGCCCGTGACATTGTCCTGTCCCCTGACTTCCCAAGACACAGGGGCCTCCTTGGTAGCCTCTACCAGAGCTGGGGTTTTAGAATTACTTGTGGAATTCTTTCATTAATGTCTGTACCTCATGAGATTGAGAACATCTTTGGATGGGGACTTGGGACGGGTGAAGGGGGCAGAGAACACGTTACTTTGTTTATTATTGTATCCCTAGTGCCTAGTACGGGGTGGAGTCTTGACATTTAATGGTTAATGAATAAACACAATTCTTACAAGAGCATACAAATTATAGGGGTGTTCTTGAAGAACATTCAGTCATGTGAAGACTCCGTCATAGATGATAATTTTTCTCATTTTGTATTTTGTTACCATGGAATCAATAAATGAGTATGTTATGATAACATAAAAAGATAAAAAAAAGTGCCGGAGCAATGCGACCACTGTGGACAACAGTACGGAGGTTCCTCCAAAAATTAAAAATAGAAATACCATGTAATCCAGTAATTCCACTACTGGGTATTTACCCAAAGAAAATGAAGACACTAATTCAAAAAGTCGTAAGCGCTCCTGTGCTTACTGCAGCATTATTTACAACAGCCAAGATCTGGACGCAACCTCAGTGTCCACGGACAGACGAACGGGTAAGGATGGGGTGTACACACGCCAGGGAAGGTGAATCATAAACGATGATGAGATCTTGCCGTTCGTGACCACGTGGATGGACCCAGAGGGTATGATGCCGAGTGAACTAAGTCAGATAGAGAAACACAAATACCATACGATTTCACTTACATGTGGAATCTGAAAAATACAACGAACTAAACGAACAAAGCAGAAACAGACCCGTAAAGACAGAGAACGGATGGTTGCCGGAGGTAAGGGGGCTGGGGGGGCGGGGCCGCGAAATGGGTGAAGGGGGGTGGGAGGTGCGGGAACAAGGCAGAGTCACGGGGAGAAAGGGCACAGCGTAGGGTCACGGTCAGCGGCTGGGCGGCAGCGCTCGCTGTACGGTGACAGGTGGCGGCCACACGTGGGAGCAGAGCATTTAGGAAACCCTGTGTTGCACACCTGAAACTAACGTCACACTGTATGTCAAGTATACTGCAATAAAACAACAACTCGGGGATGAGCAAGTGAAAATAAACTAGACTGCTCAGAACCACCACTTCTGTTCACGTGAAGAAAACATGCTGGAAGAAAACAGCACTCGAAGTCGGAATCTCCCAGAAGCAGGGGGAAAACAAGCCAAGACGGGAAACGAAAAGAGGAGAGACCGGAAGGGTCCATCCAGGGAGTCCAGGTCGGAGTAACAGGCCCTTCAGCAAGAGCAAAGCAGGGAAGCCGAAGACAGGAGATGCCGTGAGCAGGGAAAAGCCGCTGCTTCGGTGGACCCTTGTCGAGAGGGGCTCTTCTGGGAACTGGGGACTCGGCGAGGACAGGACCACTCCTGAGCGCACGGGCCATGCAGGCCGGGGCCACGGGGGACGCGGGGGACTCAGGGGCAGGGAAGGACCCTGGGGGGGAACGTGTGAGCAGACCCCAGAGACCAGAAGGAATAAGCTACGTGACAATCTCGGGACACTCTAGGCCGAGGGGACATGAAGGCAAAGGCCCGAGGCAGGCCACAGCCAGAGAGCAGCGGCCGGAGGGCAGAGGCCATGGGCCAGGCCTGGGGGCAACCTGTGGGGTGTTAGCTCGGAGCCTGGGGCCAGGGGAGGACCGGCAGAGTCTCCAGAAAGCTGGCGGTGGCCTATGCAGGACAGTGAGGGGCAGCGGGGGCAAAGGAGGGGGGTGGTGCGGCAGAGGGGCCACAGGTGATCTGGACAGGGCTCTCTGCTGAGGACCATGGATGGATCTCTGGGAGGTGACAAGGGAGGGGGTGAGGGCGGGCTGGGCACCGAGGAAGGAGAAACAAGAAGCTAGTATGAGGGGCCATAAGAGATTCGGGACCATTAGGTTTAGGAGGCTTTACAAATCCCTAAGAAGAGCCCAGGACAAACAGGTGCGGTGTTGAGGGGAGCGAGGGGCGGGGTCCAGGCTCAGAGACGGAACCCAGGGAGCACTCAGGTGACCCCGGGACTGAGCCAGGGGCTGCTGATGCTCTGGGGTGAGGAGCACCCGCACAGGGGACCGGCAGGAGGCAAACAGAGAGAGGGTGGTGTCCCAGAATCAAGTGGAAAAAGTGCTTCGAGAATAGGGAGTGACCAACGATGTCAGGTGCTGCTGACAGAGCAGGACAGATGAAGGCCACAGAGTCATCGTGGGGTCGGGGGAGAGGGTGGCTGGGGGGGATCCCCGACCAGGGAGCTTCAGGGGGCAGAAAGGTTTGCTGAGGAGAGCGGGGGAGGGGGTGTGGAGAGGAAGCGAGGGATGTGGAAGCAGGGCTGGGGGTGCGCACAGCTCTCACGAGGGATTCTGCTCCAAGGAGAACAGAGAAACAGGTCAGTGACTGAGGGAGTAGTTTTTAACAAATTTGTGTTTTCCTTGGAATTTCTCATTGCTTTTCTTTTTGCTTTGCTCTATTTGCCTTTAGTGCCTCCTTAAAGCGTAGACAGGGAGGGGATACAGTGTCCAGCAAAGGTCTGGGGGGCATGTTTATTTAAGAAGGGAGTAGTTGTAGCGCACGCGTATGGCGATGAGACTGACCCGAGAGAAAGGAACATTCTGAGGAAATGAGACAGACGCGAACAACAGTAGGAGCCTGAGGACCTGGCCGCGTTGTGCGAGGGGCAGGGCCGCTCTCCTGTGGGAACACACCTGGGCCATTGAGGGCCACACAGGGCATATGGGGCCCCATGGGTCTAGATGCTGGCAGACTGGATATTTGGTGGCAGTGAGGAAATACTCTCTACTCGGCTTCTGTGTCCTCAAAGTGAAGCAGAGTCAGCAGCTGAGAGCGAAGGTGGGCGGGAGCGAGGGAGAGGTCTGAGGACGCACACCGGCGGGAGGCGAGAGAAGCATCGAGAGAAGCACGCACGGCTGCAGAGGCCGCTGAGACCTCCCGGAGGCTGGCGTCCCTAAGGGGGACAGAGGCCAGCAGTGTGGCGGGCATCTTCCTCCAGCTACCCGCCGCTGCTCAGCCGAGGCTCGGCAGCCCCAGGATGGGACTGTTGGAGGTTTTGCTGGACAAGTGCAACAAATGGAAAGAGGAGCAAGGGAGTGATGATGGTGGTGGATTACATGTCAGCAGGAAGTAAGGAAGGGAAGCGGGGAGAAAAATAGAAAAAAGGCAGTAGACTCTGGATGATGGGTGGTCCTGGATGGGGCTAAATTACTTCTGGTGAAGGAAGGACTAAAATCAGATTGTCATCAGACGGACACGCTCAGTGACACTGGGTGCTGGAAGACAGGACAGCAATGTTTTCAAAGGTCTGAATGAAAATTACTTTCTGGGGGCGCCTGGGTGGCTCAGTTGGTTAAGCGTCTGCCTTCGGCTCAGGTCATGATCCCAGGGTCCTGGGATCGAGCCCCGCATCGGGCTCCCTGCTCCGCGGGGAGTCTGCTTCTCCCTCTCCCACTCCCCCTGCTTGTGTTCCCTCTCTCGCTGTGTCTCTCTCTGTCAAATAAATAAATAAAATCTTTAAAAAAAAAAAAAGAAGAAAGAAAATTACTTTCTTCCTAGAAGTCTATAAAAAAAAAGCAAACTGTTAAAGTGCAAATTAACAGATATTTTCCATAAGATCTTGGAAGATTCACCTCCCACAGGCCCTTTCTAAGAAAGCTACTTCAGGATATACTCCAGTAACATGAGGGAGTAAACCAAGGAAGAGGAAGCTGTGGGATCCACAAATCAATGCTCTGACCTAGGAAAGCAGCAAAGGCCCATGACGATGATGGTGCAGAAGGCCCAGAGAACCACCAGTCAGGACTGGACAGTCTCCACAAGGGAGACACATGGAAGAAGGGGGCAAGGGGGGGTGGCAAAAGATGAAGCTTAACGGGGCAATAAAGACAAAGCCTGGTTTTTTTTTTTTTTTAAAGACAAATATGAAGAAATTCTTGGAAAAATTAAAATTTGTTCAAAAGCCTAAAATAAACTCTAGAATACCACTTAACACCTCAGTGAACAATATTTACATGGTCACGATAATATAAACAACGTACTGATTTTCAACTCTTAAAAATAATAGGTAGACAAGCACAGGCTACAGAACAGACTATGAACCTTCAACCTTGACGATGCAAAAGTATGCCAGATGCCAGGATGTAGGAGGTAAAGGGGGAAGGATTCCTGAAGGGGAAGTCAGGAGGATTTATGTCCTTTTTGCTTATGAAAAAGAGGTCAAGAGATCATGTCTCTAGTTGACAAACCAAAAATAATGGTGAAAACACAGTATGTAGTTACAAAGACAATGAAAGAAGATCTACAAATGGCGACAGCACCAAACTAGGAAGTGAGAGTATTAAATTAGATCCTCACCACAAGCATTACCCAGTCTGTGTCTATGACCATACATCCTGAAGTCAACGCATAATGTCTGAACTTGGCCAATTTAGTGACATAACGTTACCTATTAGAAGAGAGAGTTAAAAGAGCAAAAAAGGCAGTTGTCTCAAAGGTGTAAAGAGGTAAGATGGGAAATAACAGTTTTTCATTCTTCTATTTTTAAGATCATTTGCACGAATGATTTTGACCAACGAGTCACTTTGCAAAATTCCTCTGACACCAGTGCCCTGGAAGTCCTCTCCTGGGGAAAAGCAAGGCTGCTTCGCTCCCAGACTGATTTCAGGAGCAGGTCCCTCGTGTTTCAGGTTCAGAGCTGCCAGATGAAGTGGGGGATGGGGAGGGTGGTAGAAAAGTTGAAACCTATCTTTCCAAGAAGTAAATTCAGGGTGAAGGAGATGTGCCTTCTGGTGGATGTGACACAGCCGCGTTCCCAGGAGCACTGAAGGCCATGCGGGGGTCCTGACTGCCCCAGGACAAGCGCCCTCAAAAACCTCCCGTCCCGGCGGCCCAGAGCCCAGCGCAGTAGCAAGTGGGGCCACCCCAGCTCCTCACCTCGCCACTCCGCCGTAATCCAAACCTTCTTCTCCCCGGAACTTCACCATCAGCCGCTTCTTCAGATCCTTCGGCCGCATCTTCATGATCTGGCGGTAAGACTCCTGCTCAGCAAAATGACAGTGTCAGAGAGAAGAACAGGTGGCGTTCTTGGAGTTACAGAAAGGTGAAAGGTTGTCGGTGATGGAGCCCAAATCAGGATGCACATTCATTTAAATCCGAGTCTGATCTGGTTCCCATTCAGAGTGTTGATTCGGTGTCCCGTATGCGGCGGCTTGTCGCCGGATCTCCCCAGGTCTCCCTCAGAATCGACAAGGCAGCCCATGCCGGGCGAAACCGCACCGAAAGGACACACACACCCGCATTTTCAGCACGATCACTAAAGGCTTAACAGCAACCATCCTCACTACAGCCCATGTTCTCCACACAATTTAATTTTAATGTGCCATACTAAGAACAGCTTATATATTTTATTTTTTTTTAAGATTTTATTTATTTGCCAGAGAGAGAGAACGTACAAGGGGGGACAGCAGGCAGAGGGAGAGAGTGAGGGAGGCTCCCTGCTGAGCCGGGCGCCCGATGCGGGGCTCGACCCCAGGACCCCGAGATCATGACCTGAGCCGAAGGCAGACGCTCAACCGACTGAGCCACCCAGGCATCCCAACTTACATATTTTAACCAAAATGAAGACGTCCCTAGAGAATCTGAACAGTAAAAGAATTCTGAGACTGTTTTTATATCTGAGGTGAAGAGTCACATGATTTGCACGGAGTCAAAAAAGCAAAAAAAAAAAAGCATTTAAGTAAGACATACTACTAGCTTACCCAAAACACAAAACAGGTGGCCAGCCCAGCCTTCCCCCAGATTCAGTCTTTTGAGTGGAACTCACTAAATGTTTGTAGATATTTTCAATGATAAGGCACTTAAGAATCTTTCCATGCTTTAAATGTAACGTAACTCAAGCTTTAGAACCCAAGAGGGAAAGAGGACGCTGAGTGGAAATGATCTGGCAGCAACATGTCAATAATTCAGCACTCTCCTCTCCCCGGCAACCGTTTAAGACTGCTCAGTGGCCATTTTGGCTGATCCGTCCATATCACCCAACACTGGCTGAGCTCGGGTGTCGAGCCTGGCCCGGGGCACTTCCTCAGTGCCCATCACCAGGAAGACCTCACTGGGCTCCCTACAGCCCCCGGCCTCGCCCTCCATGCCCCTCTCGCAGCCGCGGCAGCCCAGTGGGGATCTGAGTTCAGTTCTTATCCAGTCTCCTTTGATCACTTCTGCCAGTGGTTCCACAAAGGCAGGCAGGATATGGCCCAAACATCACTGAGATTTTACCTTCTGATCAGAGGGGTCTGCCTGTTTAGTGGTCTTGATCCCACCGGGGAGCTGTATGAAGGGCGGAACCCTGATTTTCAGGTACCACCTGATCGTCCTATTTCCAGAAAACACATTAAAAATACGGTGGCCAGCTGGCCACTAAGCTTCTCTGAGGAGGCAGAGCCATTGGGGAAACTCCGTGTAAGACAATAGAAGGAATGATTGGTTCTAAAGAAACCATGCAGACTGCGGGAATATATAATCTGCACAGAGCAGATAAGAGGACTGACAGTATTATTTAGTACTAGTTTCCATATAAATCTCTTTATTTTCACTTCAGAAGTTCTTGAGCTTTTAAACTCTTACCAAAGGAGAAAAGTCTCTCTGTAGCCACTGGTCCTGAAAAAGACCTACAATTTGCTGAGTAATAAAATCACGACCTGAAGGGGCGCCTGGGTGGCTCAGTCGGTGAAGCGTCTGCCTTTAGCTCAGGTCATGATCCCAGGACCCTGGGATCAAGCCCCACATCGGGCTCCCTGCTCAGTGCGGAGCCTGCTTCTCCCTTTCCTCCCCGCTTCTGCTCTCTCTCGCTGTCTTTGTCTCTCTCTCAAATAAATAAAATCTTTCAAAAAAAAAAAAATCAAGACCTGAAACGCCAGAGAGAAAGAACTCACTGTTAACAGGGTTGAACCGTCTATGCCTCACTGCTGGCTGCACTGAATCCCATACCTCAAATATTTCTTCTCTGGATACTTCGATGCGGCAATGACCGGCTTGGGGTTGCTGAAGTGAAAGTTCGTGTCTGAGGACCTTCAGCTTCTGGACTAAATCTCTTTCGTATCTCTGGGCAGGAAGCTCCTCGTCTTCCACAGAGCCCTCACTGGGCAATGGCAGCGGTTGGCTGGGCTCCTTTAGTTGGCACTGGTGACTTGAGGAGAAGACAAGCATCAAGGTCACTCCAAAAGTAGCGGCCAAGGGAGCTGCAAGCAAGGGCCCCCCCCATACCAAGCAACTGAGAGTTCGTTACACAGAACTTCAAGAAGAAATGTTCTCTCTGCTGACATAACCACGTACAAAGATACGTAAACACTGACAGTGTCCACCACTGGCCTAAATAGAGAAGTCTAGATATGTCCTAAGTCAAGAAGATACCCCAATTCCAAGCCACTGCTTATCCCATACATCCTCACTGCTATGAATAAAAGCAGAAATTGCGATCATTTATCATGCATCTAGTATGTCTCTGAGAGACTGACCGATGCACTAGGAGACGCACCTCGGTGGCTAGAATTGCATGGAGCTGCAAGCTGATTATCGTAAAGGGGGCGAACAACGCGAGAGCAGTCTACTGGGAACCATTCCTCAGTTTCACAACCAAGACATTTCTAAGCCCGCTCACAAAATTCCAGTAAAATCAAGGACTAGGAGGAGCAGAGGGATGAAGTGGCATTTATCTTTTTCAGGTTCTGCCCCCAAGGTCAGCTGTCAATGAGAAGGGCTACGTGGGCTCTTACGTTCTAGAGAACACAACAAACCTGGGACACTGAACGTGGGATCCAAGGTAACTCCCAGGTCCAAGCTGTCCGGGAGTGACGGGGACAGGAAAAGGCCCCGGCGAGGAGCATTACCAGCTGTGGCAGCCCTGCCGGGTGGTGACGGACACACACTAAGAAAAAGCCTCATTTCACTGCCCCGCACTCTAAGGGCCACGCACTCCTCAGAGAGCCACATGTGGAAGCTTCGAGAATGGAGCTAAGACTGCCCTCTGGGTGAATTTCACTGAGGCTGCAAGCAAGAAAAGGGGGCAACAATACAGCTCTGAACAGCTCACAGCTTACTTGAGAGCTTGAGATATGCACCTGTCCACCAACTGTTTATCATATTTTACTCACACTTATTCTCCACTAATACACAAGGCAGTAGATAAATTAAGAGAAATATTAGTAGAAAACATTACATTATAAATGTAAGAGGTCAACAAAGATTTTAGGAAAGTCTTACTTCATGATGTGATGTAATCTTGGGTCTGTAAACTGGGTGGTTCGGTTATTATGATCTACAAAATATATTCTCCCCGAAACTGTACTTCTGACTTCCCAGCCTGGTGGCAGTGGTCCAAGTTCATCACAATTCACACTGTTAAGGTCTCTACCAAAATGGAAGATAACAGAGAGGTTTGTCCATCTGCGTGTGGAGGCATAAGACCAAAACTTCAGCGAGAGCAGCCACAGGAGTCCCTGATCAATGTGGCCATGGCCCAGGTTCACTAAGAGGGACAGTCATGGTGCTACTTACGCCAAACTCCCACCGAGTCCAGCCCTCTGTGCCACAAGTGGCAGCGACACCCGAGAGAGAAAAACGGAGCCCTCCGAGCCTATAACCGTGATGGTGAACCTGGTCCACCCAGGGAAGAGCATTTCTTACACCAAAGAGGGCCAAGTAACAGGAAGCAGCTGACTGCTGTCAGAAAACTCTCTGTATTTACGAGCTAAATTAAATGCTCCAAGGTCACAGAGGTGTCCTCACTGAAAAGCTCCCAGAAGCCCGAGAGTAAAGCTCATGGGGATATAGTAACTAATGCCTTCGAAATCTCTCAGTTCTGAGCAGGTGCGCCGGGAGGCAGCGTTCTCATGCTTTAGGGGACTCTCTTCCACAAGTGTTTCTGATCCTAACCTCGCACTTAGTGATTTCAGTACAGTCCAGTCATGTGAGAGCACAACATCACCGACCAGGTCGCTTGTCTACTTAGCACAAAACCTGACATTTCTTACAGTGGGGACTAAAGAGACACCTCATTCATTTGCAGGTAGGTAATGAATCTGAAATTCAACAGAGACTCGGAAAGTCAGCGATAGGAAGCTTGTTCTCAGATGAAACAAATTATGAATAGAAAGGAAATGAGCATTACTAAAAATGTTATTAGGTAGTAATGCTATTCTAAAGCAAAACAAAACAAATTTTGAAAAGGAAAGCAAACAAAGAAAAAAGAAAACAACTCCATTATGGGATGGGGGAGGGGTGGGGGTCTCTCTGACCTGGGCTCAGATGTATGGCCTTGTAGAAGGAATTCGTATAGAAAAGCTTCATCTCCCCCAGGAATGGTCCCCAAGGGACTGAGGCAATAGGGACAGTAAAGTAGAAGAGAGAAAGGGTAACAGAGTCTTTATATTTCCTTTGTAACGTTTTCTGATGGAAAATTTTCAGCACATACAAAAGTAGAGAGAGACCATTAATGAATACCCCACTTCGACCATCACCAACTCACCGTCCACCTATTTCAAACACGCCCCTACTCGCTCCCACCCCCAGCCCCGATTATTTGAAGCAAACCCCAGCCATCCTATCATTTCATCCATTGCCTATTTTTAGATGAAAATGACAGCAACACACCTTGAAGGGCTCACTGATTTTTCAAGCAAGAGCACATCTGATTTCATCTAGGGGCAAGGGTCTTTCCAGTTACGTGAACCGATCTCACGATCCACGCCTGCCCTCTCAAGGACCCACTTGTGTGCCAACAGCAGGTGCCCAGGCACCAAAAGGAGTCTCAAGGGGGCAGCAGAGCTGGGACTCCAACCCAGAGAGCCTGAGTCCAAGCCCCTGTGACTCATCCTCTCTGCGCTGCCAAGCTTCTTCCAGCCCAAGGGGTGCTATCAATCAGCAGGGGGGCGGCAGCAGGGGTCGGGGGAGGAAGTCCCCCCGAAACTGCTGGAGAAAGGGCTCTGACTGCACCCAGTCTAGAAAACTCACCTTGGTATCCTGGGGTCGTGCCAAGTGCTAACTCCAGTCTGTGTGTGCAAAAAGTAAACTTGGCCCTGCACCGTTGTTCTTTGTTCTGCATGAGAAACCAGAGGCGGCGGTTAGTTAGAGTCCATTCCAACGAGAGTTGTCCAAGAATCTTCTCAGCACAGAGCCTAAGCTTCCTCTCGGTTTTCTTTTGAATCACGGAGACAAGAGGACAGCGGTGAGCTTCTGCCAGACCGTCTCACTTCACAAGCCCTGTGCGCGTATTTGGGCGGCTCGCCCCGCTCCCCGCTGCAGAGCGGTGCTCCCCTTCCCCGGCCACACCCCGTGAGGCGCTGGATGTGTGTCCACCTGGGTCCTGACCTCCCCCTGACTGCGGGCACCTGTGGCCGCTCTCACGTCTGCTATCATCTGCACCTCTCCATTACATTCCTCCTTCCCTGGGCTCTCCTCTCTGGGGCGGTCAGATGCTCCTGTTTCCCTTGTACCCAGCGTGGTCATTCCCACATTCACATCACAGAGCACCACACGTACCCTCATCCAGCCCACACATCATCTTGCATTTTTTTTGGTCTTCATTTGCCTAAAATTTCCACACGATTGCTAAACTGGGAGAGTGGAGCAATTGCTGACAAATTCATGATTTATCACCACCTTCTTTACTTGTCTTTATTCTGACACAGCCGTCGTATGGCACAGCTTTGCCAACGTCAGCAGTTAGGGCACGGACAAGTCCCTAAAAACGGCTTCAACGGGGAGCCATGGCAGTTACCACGCGGGACGGCGGCGCAGATTCTCTCACCATAGCCTTCGGGCAGTTCTGGTGACTGGTGGCCGTGGGGTCGGTTCTGAGGCGTCTGGAGTGACCCCCGGACCTCGGGATTTCGGAGTCGCTGCGCCTGGAGTCTTTGATCTTGACCTGGGGACTCCACGAACCTGCAGTCCCCTCCCCCCGCAGCCGCACCGGTACTGTCTGTGTAAGGGGCCGGCTCCTCCATGAAGCAGCTGAGTGGCCTTCCAGGCCCTGAGTCTTCATACACGGTTCTGGAAAGGAGAGGAGCACAGCGTACATGGGGACCCCAGCCTGCGAGAAGCGCCTAAAAACCGATCGCGGCGCCCCCACACCCGCTTATTGTGCTTTCCCTCAGTCGAGATGCCCCCAGTGCCTACTTGTACAAAATTTGTTCTGTCTTATTCAAACACATAGACTTCTTCATGAGGCACAAGCAGCCAAAGGAAGCCATATGTCAAGTGCCACCAAGGCCACGTGTAGGAAGCCATCCTCGGGGAGAGCTGAATGACTGAAAAACCCAACCTTGCACTCTAAGAAGCTCGTGAAATGAGATTTCATTTTTCTTGTTTAAAATCAAATCCAAATACTCCATTTTCCTTGTTACTTTACTCTGTAATAGAACTCCTGGTTATATAAAGTACTGCAGTGACTTTAAGTACTCTCTAACATACGTCTCTACCTCCTGAACAATTCTGAAGACAATTTACCTTAATAGGCTATTCCCCTCACAAGTATTTTTTAAAAACATCTTACATTGAAAACTTTCAAACATACACAAATTGAGAGACTATCTCCATAACCACCGCACCCCAACAATGACCGGCTCCCAGCTACTCCTCCACTCTCCCCCCTCCACCGGATTATTTTGAAACCAATCCCAGAGTGATTGATTTCATCCTTAAATATTTCAGCATATATCTCGAGAAGATAAGGACTTTTCCATAATCACGACTAAAAAAAAGGGACATTGATTTTTTTAATATCATCAAATATCAGTGTCCAAATTTCTCCAGTCAGTAGTCTCATTTATCGGGATCTAAACAAGGTCCCCACACTGCATTTAGTAGGTATTTCTCTTAAGTCTCTTTTATTATTAATTTGTAGATTCCCTTCCTTTTTATTTATTTCTCTTGCGATTTATTTCTCAGTTGTCGAAGATGGAGTTGTCTTCCGTACTCTACAGAGTGCCCCCTTTTGAATGCTGCTTAGGGCCTTCCTGCGGGGCTGGGCAGCACATTCCTCCATCCTCTGGATTTCCAAGAGGTGTGTTAATGTCAGATTACCTCTCTTTTGTGGACTTTAAGCAACTATTAATGATTACTGCCCAGCTCCATTAAGGCATGGGGATCGCAAAACTGTGACCGTGACCAATGAGTTCTTAAGGTTTTTTTTTTTTTCTTTTAAGTGTTTTCGGGCTTTTTTTTTGCTCAGTGTTATGATAAACTCAAGAATTTTTGATATATCTGATGTGCTTCCATCCATTGTAGTTATAACTCTTAACGACGCTCAAACTCTTTGACCAGTGAAAATCTCTTTCAATTGGATCCCGAGTCTTGTGGGCGCGACCCCACTAATCTGCACAGCCTCCTTTATAAACAGGGAAACCAGACCCCGCCTGCGTCCCAAAGTCCTTTCCTGCATGTCAAGCCGTCAGCACAAAGGTGTGAGGGCTACTTCAGGAAGCACAGGAGCCCAAGGCAGCAGAGACGTGAGTGGGCACCGCCAGGGGGATACGTACCCTTCGTTCTCTAAAAGTCCTCTGCAGTCTACCACAGAGCCTCCAGTGCCTATCCTGTCTCGTGTCTGTAAACTGACTAAAACAGAAAAGAACGTCTTGCATTAAAATCCAGTGGCATTTCATACAATTGTCACACAGTGAGCCATTGCGAATGTGTAACTTACATATAATATTATTATACAAAGCAAGGCACATACATATACAGAAACGTATCTACTCCTAGGCTCTCAAGTATGAAGCATTTGCTCCATGAGCTGCATGCCCCCCGCATACTGCTTGGAACATTCCTGGTAAATGTGGAGAAGGGAGTGCTGTGTTTTCACCCACCCCATAAAAATACCAGATTCACGATAGTCGCTTCCTCTAAGTTACCTCATTTTTAAAGAAGATCTTTAATAAGGACACAGAGAGCACTTCCAGTATCTGGGAAGTCTAGATGAATTTAAATATTTATCCTCTATCACTACTGTGAACAACAAAGACATTTATAAAGTTGCTTCTAGTTATTCGCTTTCCCCCTGGCACACCACTCCACAGAGAAAAAGAAATCACAAACAGAAAAGCATTAAGTGAGAACTTTCTCATTATGATGGTTTTCAGGATGCGTACCCACTGTTCATTTATTTTGAGTCAAGTCTCTTCGAGACAATGCCCGAAAGATCTGGGGTCCTAACTCACTCTGGTATGCTGCTGAAATACTAGGTTTTCTCCGCCTCCTTGCAATGCATATAGTCAACATTGGAATTACCCTAACATGCTAATAAGATGGGATGGATAACAGAACAAGCCACTTGACAGATAGAGCGCTTCCAATGGGATACCTCCAGTCAAGGCTTGTAACTTTAGCACATTTTTTCTCCTCCTCCATACTTCAATCCTAACTCTATAAAATCCCTATTACGTGGAAGTCTTCCGAAGTCATCCCTGCTTTGTACATACACGGTAGGTCTTCCCAGAGAAACCAGTTCTTAGCCCTCGTATGTGTGGCCACCACTCTTACCATGAACGCTTGGAGGAGACAATGACAAATTAATCGTCCATGAATGAGGTGCTTAAAATTATATCTGAAATTATAACCAGAAATGTTTTTGGAGCCTAGTCATTGTAACTCAACTTGGGATGACGGGATGAAGGGAATTTGATAAAATAATAAAACCACACAAGATGAGCATTTTTAGTGCTGAAAAGATGGCCCCGGATGTGGCTTGTCCTTTCAAATTCGTCACCACTGTCAGTGCCTCTGTGTGCTTTCTCGCCGATGAAGCGCTGAATGTTAAAGTCTGTAAAAGCATCTCTTTATACAGATGAGAAAATTCTTACCCACTATTTGGCCACGAACTGCATCAGTATCTGAGGGATTTAGTTTGCATAGATCCAAACGCTGGTCTGCAAACAAACAATTCAAAACTTAACCCAGGCAAATGGTAACTAGGGAGGAAGGCAGGAATTGTGTATTTCAGTATTCAAAAGGGGAAAAAAAAAAAAAAA